ATTTCCGAGGAATTTCACGTACTGAAACAATGGGAACAATGGACTATGTCAGAAGATGGTGGGGCGTCGGAGACCCCACGCATGCGCACAAGAGGCTACGGGCATTGCCATGCGCAGACACTCCAAGCGAATGCGCCTTCGTCTGTTAAGAACGACGCGGGACCGGCAACAAAGAATTTCAAACGTGTTTGCTAAACCGCCAAAATTTCCGGATCCCGCCATTTTATTAGGCGGCAAATCGTGAGAAAAATCAGACTTTTTCCCGGTTTTTTGTGGGGGAGTAGATACGACGTAGTATTAATAACATCCTCGATTGATAACGACATTGTTTTTGGTGCAGTATTGCTTCGTGAAAACCGAAAATCATTAGTGGACTATGTTGATATCCGGGGAAAAAGATCGTGAGTGTGGGTCGGTGTCGTGTTGTGGGAATTTCAGGGTTTTTAGCAAGAGATCAGTGTGGTCCTGGTGGATATTTTTTGGGTTCGAATTTGTCAGTGGAGAGTATTAATTGCGTGAATTGTGAATTTTTTTTGGGAATTTTCCAAGTGCCATTTGGTCAAAATGTGAAAAAAAATAAAAAATCACGCCCCGAGGGCTAGTTCACGCTTATTATGAATCGCGGGGCGCTCCGTAACTCAGATTTTCATCAACGTATCTGTCGCTTTAGCGGCGCTAATGACATTATATAGCCCAGTTTGCCATCCCTGCACTAGATATGTATTTATCACAACAAAATGACCTTTTCACACAAATGACTAGACAATTACAATTATGGGATTTGTTTTCATTATTACTGAATAAAGTAACATAACACTATCATTTGAAAATATTTTCAACTGTTTTATGTACATGTTTTCATATAATTTCTATAATAGTTTCCGATTTTTATAAAAAAAAAATAATATTCTATCCAAGGACGCACCGAGAGCCTCGTCGAAAAAAAAAATTGTACAAGCCGCCAAGTGCAAAATCAAGTTCACTCTTAAATGAGAGAAGAATAGTCCTACGATCTCATGTAAATTTTTTTTGGGAAAAGTAGCACGGCTCACTCACGTGGGTGTTTTCGATAATGGATGAGGTAAGGAGAGTATCACGAAGGAGCACGTTCCGGCCCAATACTGAGGTCCCAGTGATCGCAGTTCTTCGGGCAGTGATGATAGGATACTGCACTTGCGTGTCCTGATCTACCTGATGTCATGGATGCGCCTTGTTCCCATTTGTCAGTTGCGGGATCGTAAATTTCTACGATACTAAGGAATGTTGAGCCATCATAGCCCCCTAAAACAGACGATATTATTAACTTTAGAACATTTTTTAATGAATTTCAATCTTTTTTCTCAATTGAAGTATATTTTTAAATTTTTTTTTCGCTAGAAAGTATTAATTAAACTCACCCATAGCATACAATTTTCCATCCAAAACTGTGACACTGAGTGCACTGCGTGCTATTGAAACGTTGCCAACATACTTCCAACAGTCATTCTCAGTATCATATCTTTCGACGGAATTCAATTGGCCACTTCCATCATACCCTCCAACAACGTAAATAAACTGTCCTAAACTAGCCACACCTGCCCCGGACCGACATGAGTTCATGGGTGCTACCATTGTCCATTCGTCATTCTCAGGATGATAACATTCAACTGAATTGAGTCTGTGGGTCCCATCGTATCCACCGATGGCATAAAGTAGCCTTGAATAAATGAAAATTATCAATCAATTTGCAAAATATTAGAACTATCGGAGGAAAAAAAAATCACCCTCAATTGTGATGTCCGATTTATGACTTATTATCGGACAGCAAAGGGAAAACAACCGTTGACATGGTATGTATACATTCAACCCCGTAGATGATATTAGAACTCGCAAGGGTGTTAAGACAAAAATAGTGATTTAATCACCTATTCACAACGGCAACACCCACACCAAGCCTCTTAACATGCATTGATTTGATATTGCTCCAAGCATCTGTTTCTGGATCGTAACACTCGACACTGTTATGATACTGTGTCCCCGAGCATCCTCCGACAGCGTAAAGCAGTCCATCCATAACAGCAACACCAACACGATTCCTGGGAACCGACATTGGTGAACACGGCCTCCATTGATCATTTACGGGATTGTATCTGTCTACCCAATCGCTGTCATACCTCCAACAAAATTAATAAAATTCAAGCATTGTATCTTGCTAAATATTGTCACAATGGAATAGAGAAAAAAAAATATCTTAAAGTAATTATTGGCACGATTAGAGTGGATCGAATTGAAATTGAATTGATAATTTTTTAATGATTGCTCTGAACTATCAAGTTATTAATTGATTTTAATGTGTTAAAAATAAGTGTGAATAAAAATGAACAAACCTGTTGTCACAGGGAGCTAGCCTAGTACCAGGTGAGTTATTTCTACCTCCAACAGCATAAAACATTCCTTTAAGAAAAGCCCCACCAAGCCCAGATCTGGGTACGATTAACTTGGCATGGAGTGTCCAAGTGTTATCATCGACATTGTAGCCCTCGAGAATATCGAGGGAATGTCTGAGAAATCCACCAGCAATGTAAATGACCCTGGGAGTGTTGGGAGTCCTCTCTTTGACAATGGGCTTCTTGTGGAGCGTGAGATCCTTGAAAATTTGTGCCAAATACTCCCTACAGGCTGGCACTTTCTTTAGGACATCGCAGTTCTTCATCTGTTCGCTGAGAAAACTTGGTGTCAGATATTGGCACCTTACAGCATGCAGTATGTGTTCCATCTTGGGGCCTCTGGCATCCTCGTTGTACTTGACCCACTTCAATACAGCATTGTACACTTCCTGCTCCTCCTGTACATTTAGCTCGTCTTTTCGTACAAGGGAGATAAGTTGCATCGCTGATAATTGAAGAAATTCCTCCTCTTGGCATATTCTACTAAAGTGCTGGACAATAAATTGATTGGCCTTACGGTGAAGATTGCGACAGCCATGCTGTTCAGCGAAATTTGCTATTCCAATGGCATTTGTCGGATCTAACTGCTTTTCTAAGAATACACAACAGGCTTCTATCACGTTGTTTACCTGAAATAATGTTAATTATTGTAAAATATTAAAGTTGAAATGATTATATTTTCATAAAATTTTGGGGAATGATAAGTTGTCTAATTTGACAAAATACCTGGAACATGGTAGCTGCTGGGAGAAGAGCACAAACAGTCACTTCAGTTACTCTAATCTGTCCTGTGTACATGAAAAACATAAGCCTAGCCATGGCGGTAGGACAGACGCCTTGCAGTTTTACCCTAGTCATTTCACACTCTTTCAAACCCCCCGTGAACATGGCCTGTAAAAAAAAAAAAAGAATAACTGGATCAACATTATCTGATAAAGTAAAAAGGGGAGGAGAAATTTAAGATAAAAAAAAACAATCCAGTGATACTAGATTCTTCCTAAAGGATTTTTCCTCCTCGTATTTATCATAAATGTGAGAATAATAATTTAAAAAACCTTGAAGTATGGACTAGCAGCGGCCAGTATAACTTTGTGTGCATGAAAAAGTTCAGAGCCGACCTCCAGAATAACATCGGTGAGCATATGATGACTTCTCATGATGAACATCATCCTCATGGCTTCGGTAATGTAATTAGTCATGGAGAATGTCATGTCTCCAAGGTCTGTTTTATCATTGCAGGCATTCTCCAATTCACTCTCGACACCAGACTCCACCGATGACCCAATAACAAACGCCTTCTGGTCCATTTTAATTTTTGGCCCATTTTGAGATAGATTGTCTTCCTCACCATCCATTAATATTACAGAAATAAACCCGTCGAGGTCTGGACAATCAATACAAGTAAACCAAATGAGACAGTTAAATGAGCCAACTTTAACAGTTTTAAAAAAATATCTAGTGACTGTGAAAAATAAAAATTATTTATTATAGGAAATGTTTTAAAAAATTATCAAATTCGATTAACATCTACTTTGTTACCAACTCAATTCATAAAGCATCATATATAAATAACTGAAAAAAAAAAGAAATTGTTTTTATGCTATGCTATGTAGAAAAAATTGAAGCAATGTAGTAAAATAGCTGGTGAAGGACGAAAATTGATTCCCCTCTGGTTTCATTGCAAGGGGAAAAAAGTGCATATTATGAGGGAAAAGATTGTTCCTATCCATGAAAAATATAATAATTTTAACAATAAAGAAAAAATTGTAATTAAAAACATACAGAGTGTCGCGGTATTTTTTCAATCACCTCGGAAAACTAGTAGAAATAATTTTCAACTTTCATCATATCTTTACCACCCGAATATAAAATTTCCATTCGCCTGATCATCTCCCCCACCCCTGAATACCCGAAGAACATAATGCAAGGGGAAAGAACTATAACAGCCCCTTTGAAAAATGTGGGCATTTGACTGATCTGTAAGCTCACTTTATCCAGGAAATCACCCCTCTCCCCAACGAAACCAATGTAAAATAAAATTCCCTACCAACATACCGGAACGCACGTAAACAAGAGTTTTGAACGGTTGTTCACCAGATAGTGAAGGATGAAGATGACACAACACAACTCCTCCGGGGATCCCAAACAAAAAAATTGCAAATCCTACAATCATAGAATTCCCCCCCAAGAATCAGATCAGTCACAGTCGAAAGTCTCAAAAGTGTGAAATAAATTCCACATACTAATTCTCAATGAAATTTACCGCCTCGAACTTGCAGGAACGTAGCCAGCCTCTGGGTGTTTGAGGTTAGTTCACCGGAATGATGAAAATAATAACAAATAACCCTGTAAGCTCCTCGTAAGTTCTCATATGGGGAATCAAACACTAGCAATCAAAATTACCTGTCGCACTGACGTTGACGGTAACAACTGGCCCACGGTAAAGAACAATCGTAGCAATCCCAGGTAATGCCAATGTTAAACTCAATTATCTTCTCGATAAAGCCCATAGCTCTCCATTATCTAAAACACTGTAACTCGTCCCTTGCATTCGACATATGTCCTGGCAGTTGATATCCTTAGAGTTCGATCAGGGTGAACCCTCAAACATTCAACATAAACAACGGCAGATTGGAAGAAAAGCGAAAAAACCGGCTGTTATTTAATCGTCGAAATTCGCCTCGTGATCCCGGGAATGACTTGCGCAACAGAACCTAATATACAATAGCCAATTCTTATTCAAAAGACATAAAAACACTCCGCAGCTCAATCGGACTCTCCCGTTCAATGATCACAATAATTCCACAGCTTTATCACGAGTTATTGTTAATAATTACTCCAGAATGATGAGATCGAAGGCTTTTAACTCTGCTCGCCAGGTTAATTTCCAACTCTTGGCTCTCACTCCTCTACTTGTATAGATCTTTATTATTTTGACGAGTCATCCTTAGACTGCACTTTCACCTGCCTCCAACTGTTTAAATATTTTTTATTATTATTTGGTTTTTCACCTCGAGCGTTTTAACACCAGAATAATCGCCTGATATTACTAATGTCGCGACGAGTGTCTAACAATTTGTGAGGATTGGCTTTATTGTTCTAGAGAATCTCACGCCAAACACGCGTATATCGATGACGCTCTCGTTATGATGATGATGATAATTACGAAGGACGCGGATTTCCCATTATCCTCGAATACGGAAAACTCCTCTCTCGGCATAATCACTTGCGTGGGGGGGCGATGACTCGGCAGGTTTTTTTTTTTTTTTTGGATGGATGGCAAGTGCTTGGACATCTCTTGTGATAACACAGCAATATAGGGAAGGTGGGGTGGGGAGGGGGGGTGCAATACAGGTTTTGTTATTAATTATTCGGAATTTTTTCAACGCTTCTCAAATGAGAAACCTTAATCGGGACTAAGTGACCTCTCAATAAAAACAATTTATTGTTCATTGATCACTGAGGGATAATAAACTAGAGCATTTTGCCTTTTCATTCTCCTTTAATTAACAGTCAAACTTCAGACATTTCAGACAATATATTTATTTCTTATCAATTATGGAGTTGTTTTTTGTTTTTTTTTTTTACCAACAATAACAGTGTAGTTTAGTAGGCGTAACAAGAGTAGACGAGGTAGGTTACGAGAAACCTATCCGAATGCATCGTACGCCAACAAGTCGTGGCAGCGGATTTCAGTGACTTTTATGTTTCGATATTACATGTTTAATACTTCAGTAGCTATTCCACATCTTCGTCTCTTGGCGATATTTCAAATCATTGATGATTATTCACCCATTCATCCATACTAATTCCTCAGAAAAGAAATATTAAAATGGCAAGAGAAATAAGGTTTCCAAAAACAAATTCATCAAATTTATTAAATTTTTTCTGTTAATATTATTAGCCTCACCTAATTATATTTATGTTTGAAGCGGCTTTCGCAAAATGTGGCGCAGATTCCATTGCCAAACACTGGTCAATCTTGCAATTTTCTCGTCGCAGGTATTCATCGAAAGCAATGGAACTAGATCGAATTGCGGCAGTGCTTCGTAGAGTAAAGTTAATGTTTTATTGCCATGTCATTCGAAATTCCTAGTTGCATTTTTATAATCAATTCAATCAAGGTATTAAATTTCAATTCACTCGAATCAAATTGTCCATTTTTTCCGTACGAATGTTTTCGATTAATGAATTTTCCATTCAACGAAAAATTCTCCGGGAAAATGGCTAAGTTCAATTGAATTAACGGAGCGTCATTAAAAATTTAACCGACTCCACACAATCCCATAGGCCGTATAATAAACATTCTTCAACAATTTCCGTATTCCTTGATTCACACACACACACACACACACACACACACACACACCAATTTCTTATGATTTTCACACGGAGAAATAAATTTTACAACAACTATACCAGGGCAAAAAATTCGAACGCGTCAACATTAAATGGCTGTGGACTTGAAGATTAGGAGAAAAGATGATCAAATTTGCAAATTTGCAAACATAAGAGGTAAGTTGTGATGTATGAGTTGTGAGTAATTTTTTTCTCCGTGCATCGTCAATGAAATGAGAACTCGAGACGTGAAAAGTACCAACCCCCTCAACGACATCGCCATCTCCCTCGTAACCATAATATAGTACAGGCCGTACAGGCTCTTGTTGGCGCACAAAAGATATTAGTGGGCAATCGATCATTGATTCGTCAGAGCTCCGGTGACCCTCTATGAATGAGTGTAACAGGACTCTCCGAATGCCCGTGCAGTATAATAAATATTTCTTCACCACAATATTATATACAAATAAATCCAGATTGAACGTTTTCTGACGACAACTCGTCGCTCGACATTCACCTGTGGAAGAGAACAGATTCTCACTAGATCATATATCATCAGGTTCTAGGGAACGTAAAACAGCCATTCGATCAAATCACAGATTGATCACTCCCGCTCGAGTAATAGAATCTAAAATCTTTGTTTATAATTTTTTTATCCATTGTCATCGTCTTTCCATCCCTTCATAAATCTATCTTTGATTTTCTTTAGGCTGGGTAGACACTAGACAGTGGCCCCCTATAAATTTGTATTTTGATCACTCATCAATTTATATTCATACTGGAAAAAATGCTTTATTTCAATCAAATAAACAATTGTTTTCAAACATTTTTCATTCCCGAATAACAACTTAATCATATTAAACAAATAATTTATCAACTCCGAACAAATTATTTATTCATCCATTCATTAAATAAAGATTTATTGTTATTTTAAAAACGATCATTTTTTATTTCTGTTTCCATTTTTACTTTTTTGCTTTGTTCCGTTTTTTTTTTTTTTTTTTAATTTATTTATTAGAAAGTGGTAATTGAATTTCAATGATATTTCTCTCTCATGTGGAGAATGACAGTATGATGAGCATAATACAGGAAGCATGAAAATCTAGACAATTTCAGCAGATGAATTTATACTTGCGATCACTTGATTATTTCCAAATACAAATGCTTTCTTAATATTAAAAAAATGTTTAATTGCTAATAGGGATATATGTTTCTATTATGAAGAAAAGATAACAGGTATGTACTAACAACGGAGTTTCAGAGGAAAAGAAAAAAGTAGATTGGATTTAGAAGGTTTATATGAATGAAGTTAATAATTTGATTGAAATAAATAATTTTTCCGATTGCAGCTTGTAAAATTTCATACTCTACGACACCTTTACATCTCTGTTCCTGATCTATAAGAAGAATTTTCTTTTAACCCGTTAGTTATATTTTTTGTCCGAGGACTAAACGCCCAACAGATTCGTCAAAATGTACTCTCATTAGAATCATTACACGATTTTATCCACAGCAACGATGTATAATCTATAATTTTGTTATTCTCATAGATTGGTGAGATTTATGCACATTATTGAACTCTTCAAAACTTCATACAGTACAGCATAACGTAAAACCCCTTCAAGATATATTGCTAAACTGCTTTGATCTTCATTTTTCACAGAAAATAATTATATTCAACTATGCGAGACTACGAGAAGAAAAGTCAAGTGTGTGTGAAGCTGATTCTCTCTCTTTATAATTCATCCCAATATTTCATTGCGAATCCCTACGGAAAAATAGACTAATTGTTTTACTCTTCATTAATCTACGAGAGGAACCGAGGTGTATAATTAATAAGTGTCTAAAGTGTGCATGACATTCTAATTCGATAAGACTTTCAAGAATTTAAATATTTCGTGTTTCTCTCATCGATTACTTTGCTACCGAGAAAATTATTGCACTCATTCTCCTAAACAACCACTAAATTGAAGTTATATCGAGTAACGATAAATATATTTAGATATTTCTCTAATTAAAAGATTGGGCGGATACGACTACTGCTAAGGCCTCGCTTATCAATTATCATATATTATTTTATCCAAACAAATGTCCTTTAAAGTTTTAGTCCCATACATTCATCAACGAACAGTCTAGAAGATTATTAATTATCTCGTTAGGAATAAAATGAGATAGTCTCTTGACATTTTTCATTCATTAGTAATTAAAAGGTGAGATTTGAATGAGATCCTCCTCAATTCCATTCAATGTAGTTGTCAAACATCTTAACAATGTCGCTGCGATTTTATCACTAATTTTATTTTTCACATTCCCTCAATTGGCGCAGGAATATCGGATTAATACACGTGTTATTGAATAAGTGGTCATTCTACGCTGTGAGCCATGGGTGCAAATCCCTCACATTAAAATTCCATAATTTGTTAATTAAAAACCTGAATTTTGAATTAAGATGGCAGTGAATGGCCTGACAATGATCCGCCTCCTATTTTTTTTTTCTCCCTTTGTGTGTGCGAGCGTGTGTGCGACTCTCTCTCATCAACAATAAGTCAAGATGAAATAGATCCCCCAAATTTCAAATAATCTCAATAATTTGGCGCATGTAAAATTTACTACTTCGACGAGACTAGAAACCGATAACTCACCCACTGGCAGACAGTTCAATGTAGATATATCATCATATAATCTTCAACAAGAAAAATATTGAATCGCATTAGTCTACGACACGCAACGATACATGGTGGTGAACCTCAATAATTTTGCAAAATTCAAGACCTCCACGTGTGAAATAATTCGCTTGGAAAAATCGTCGCATTCGCTTGTACATTAGAATTTTTCATTTCTCACACATAAAAAATATGTCTTGACGAAACTTTTCTTCTGTAATAAAAATGGTAAATTAATAGATTTTAGTTTTTTCTCGTGTACAATTACAGGTCCATATATATGAGTAAAGAATAGCATACTAGGAAATATATGAATAATATAAGTTTGACAGAATATTCAGATGTTTCCTAGAAATTGAAGATAGTGTTGAAAAGTTGGTTCAAAGTTGGTGAAATGAATATTGAATGCGGCAGGTTTTTCCATATAATAATTTCATAGGTCCCGTTCCCCTTGAACCCCTCTGTCGACACCTCTGTAGAATAGAATGCTGTAATTATTAATGTATTAACAATATTTCAACGTACAAGAGCCCAAGTTGCCAGCTCATTGGCCGTCCCTGATTTCCAATTTATTCTCAAGGCTTTGCTTGCCACCTCCCACCTCCGGATTTCTACAAATTGACCTATTAATTCTTAGACTGCTTAAATACCGATGAATGCCCCTCAGAGGCGAATACACATCCCTCAAAAATAGCCAACATGTGGATTAGCAGGGAAGATTGATCTATCACGGTGGATGGAGATCCCGATGGTGTTGTCTTGCAGTGAGGATGGCCTTCAGCTCGGATTCGAGTTGTTTTTTGGTACGTTCGCTGAGGGATTTTCCCCCGATAGAGGGTTGGGCCACTCTAGAGGAGGGAGTGTCGATGATCTTGCTGAGATCTCGATTTTCGTGACTCCTGGCGCGTCTGACGGGTCTCTTTGCCCCGAGATCCTCGTGGGGAGGGGTGTTCTTGGGCTCGGTGGGGCTGTTGACGGTGAGTGAGCTCTCCTGATAAGGTGACATAAATGTGGACATTGTGGCGATAGCTTCGGATGATTTGCTGAGCTCGAGGCTACCCGATGCCCATTCCCGCGAGAGTTTCCGGCCAATGGCCGCCCCCAATTCGTTGTTCGGTGATAGATGAGGACTTTTGTAAGAGGGATGGGCGGTGGTGGGTGGTGGAGGTGGTGGTCTAAGTGTGGCGAAGACGGGAAAGGATTGGCCACGCTTAGCGGGACTGCGGGCATAACGTGGAGTGGGTAATCCACCGCTGATTGAGTCGGCTTTAATGGGAGCTGATGGGCGCAGTGTAGCACTACCACCGAAATAAGCAGTACTCAGTCGGGGTGGAGGTGAACCACCGTCGCCGTGGCTAAGACGACGGCCAACCGTTTCCAGGGGACTGCGTGCCCGTAGATTTGTGCTAGACAGGGTGAACTCGCGGGGTTTCATCGGGGCCTCCATCGACACCGGAGACAAACCGTGACGGGACCCCGAGAGATTGGTTGAGCTACGGCTCTTCTCCCCTCTCTCTCTCGGTGACCGCGGCATTAACGGACTCTTTGAACGCGAACGAGCTCGCTCCTTCGAGCATTTATCCTCCTTTTTCGTCGTTTCTTTTTTATTTGATTCCTCCTTCTCCTCTTGCTGAACCCTGTAACCACAGTTTCGTAACGGATTCTCACTCTTGCCATTTGATTTCATTCAATCATTCATTCCATCCATCCAACCCAATCTCCATTTTTATTACTTTTCATTTAAATCCCCCGTCACAGAGAAAGAGACAGGCAGACAAATAGATAGACAAACAGACAAACAGACAGACAGACAGAGAGAGAGAGAGGGGGGGAGAAAAATAAAGTGGTT